ATATTTAATTTTATGATAAATATTCACTAATTATGTCATTTATTTGTAGACAATGCTACAATATAACTCCAATGATTATGGATACTATGTGATGGAAAATATGTTGGATATTGTCTCTGCCAATATAACCGAGTCTTGGATGCAAGTAATAAATAAAAACTTTACTTTGTTATTCACTTTGCATTTTGCAACTTAATGTGAATTTTCAAAGAATAACTATATTGTTATTTACGTATTGTAGGTATTTGATGACCCAACAAAATTAACAGAAGATGTTTTGTATGATTTACGACTCCGTTGGGCAAAATGTTTCTTTGAGTTATATATATATATATATATATATATATATATATATATATATATATATATATATATATATATATATATATATATATATATATATATATATATATAATTTGAGTTTCTTGATTTTGGTGTTGTGTGCTGATCTTAATTGGTGTTATTATTTATTGTCAACAAATGTGATTTTTGTGTTGTCTACTGAAACTACAACTCATCTTCTTGTGGATTGCATGTTGGTATTTCAAGTGTGGAAAATGACTTATAAATGGTTGGATATTTTTGTATAATTTCACTGGTTTTATTATTGTAGTAGTTCACCGTATGTAAACTTCCTTATAATTTTGTACACTTGTGTGTATCCAAGATTAGTACTTTATAAATCAATTGTTCATTTTGAAGAATATATATGTGCATCCTAGCTATTTGGTGCAACGAAATTACCTATCACAGGTTAGAAAAATATGAAAATAGCGACCTAAATATGATATGTATGATGTGGTAAAAATATGAAAAATAGCGACCTAAATATGGTCTGTGTGATGGTGGAAAAATATGAAAAATTAAGTGTCAAAAAAAATTACAGGGAATCCACCTCGATTATGCTAAAAGAAAGCAAACATATTACATCAGGCCATTGAGGCAACCGATGTTAAAACCTATATATTACATCGGGCCATTGTGGCAACTGATGTTAAAAACCATATATTACACCGGGCCAGTTAGGAAACCGATGTAAAATATATATATATATATATATATATATATATATATATATATATATATATATATATATATATATATATATATATATATATATATATATATATATATATATATATATATATATATATATATATATTAAATTGTATTTTTTTCACATCAGACCTAACATCCAATCGATGTGGTAGGTGAATTTTTCACATCAGATTGTTGCTCGATATAAAATGTCTTTGATTTACTACATCGTTTGGATTTACATCGGATCTAAACCCGATGTAAAATGTACTTTTCTCCCGAAATCGCAAATGAGAAGTTGCAGAATCGCATACTTCGCCAGGCGAGTGAGTCACCCAAGTGTCGTTGGGCGAGCATCAGGTGAACAGTCTGGCAGTAACTTTTCAAAATACCGTAACTTGAGTTTCAGGACTCTGTTTGATGCGCCATTTGAAGCGTTGGGAAGATGACACACATATTTATATTATAATAGATTATTATGAATTATTTGATGTATTATTCCAATACCTATGTATTTATGAATTTGAATTATTATATGTCTAATATGCTAAGATGTTCTACTTTAATGATGAACTTGATGTTGCTGTGAAGTTGCTATGATGTTGTTGTGATGTAATTGATATTATCCGTGATGTTTTTAATGATGCGCATGTTTAACTATATGTATAGATGCTATTGTATGTTGACTATGTGAATGATGATGTGATTGACTAGTCGTGGTCGAATATGTAATTACGTGATGTTGTTGTGCATTATGCATTCATGGTATTTTTGGATGATGGTCCGCTTGTGATAAGCCTCAATCTCATTATGTGGATATGATGTGAGTAGCTAGATCCCCGCCCGAAGATTTAGTGAAGTGTTTCTTATGAAGACGATAGCGATTTATGATGTGCTCCGGTTCCAAGAGGGAATCGATCTTATGATGGGAATCATGGAGGGAGATGAACCAGGTGTTAATAATTTGATACCAAATGCATTGAGCTAGTGTTGTTGCATTAACATTCTATGTGACATTTGCATGAGTTTTGTTGATGAAATGCGATATGATGACATTTGTGAATTATGTGATTATATGATGGGTTTTATGACGAAGGATGTATAGTGCTATTATGACGTGTAGGTGTGTCAGTATGAATTTTTTATAAATGATATGTGTTTATATGATGATGATGTTGCTACTAATATTTTCATTATATATTTTATAATAAATTATAATTACTCACCCTTTCAGTTTGAATGTTTCCTCCACGTGGATAACACGCAGATACTCAGGAGTAGCCGCTAATGTAAGGAAGATAAGTCTTGGAGTAATTTAGTAGTTTCCATTTTTTTATAGAGGTGTCTTTCTCTGATATATAACATCGGGTTGGGAACATTTTATTTCAAATGTTATGCTCCTTTTGGTGTTGATAAACTCTATGAGTATTTTGATGGTTAAACAAATTTTGATTTCAACTTTTGAGGAGACTAAATGTCACGGCTTTTAATAAGTTAATTATGTTCTTGTGATGATAATTCCACTGCAATATCTTTTAAATAAGTGGTTGAATTATAAACAGATGAAATTGATATTGTTATAACCCGTGTTAATGAACATAATTGTTTTATGACATTTTGTATGGAGTGTGACACCCTTGCATGGTAATGTTTACTTGATTTATTTTGTAAATTGTATAAGAAATACATGTGGAGTTAGAAGGATGCTACAACTATCATCTTTAGTGCATCAAGTATGGTCATCTTAAAGTGGTTTAATAATCTTCCCTTGATCGTAAAATGTAGCAGGGATGACATATCATCTAGTGTGATGGACATCTCACCATGCAAAAGATGAAAATATGACGTCTCATCGTTCCATCTCTCAACAAACGTTGACAACATACCATGGTTAATAGTAATATAACTAATAATTCATAAATCTCATAACTCAGATAGTTGTATGGCATCATGAAGCCACTGCTCCTCAGGTTGTTGCAACTCATAATCTTCTGACCTTGGTTGATTAATTTTAAAGCATCACAGTAATGTAAAAAATACACCACCGTCAGAATATTCGAATATTATAACACTTGTGTTTCAAAAAATAAATACAAATAAATTTTACCTCTCTGTCCTACACGTGTCTAGCAGCATGTTATGCATACATAGGCAGTACTGAAGTTTCATAATGGCCTCCTCCAAATTCCTCAAAAATGACAACATCGATAGCAGGTGCATCAACCTAGAAATATGTGACACCTACCTCTGAAAAGATGAAGTCGGTGACACTTGGACCCAAAGAGTTGATGCTTCCACATCAAATAAAATGCCACCAACAAATGCATGTTGGGAGACTCTACAGTGCCTCAATCATTCTTGATTGTCATCCAGGCTACCTATAATTAAACAAAATAAACCAGGCAAAGCATAAAAAAATCAAACTCCGATGAAAGACATTCAAAATCAAACCCCGATGAAAGGCATTCAAAATCAAACCAAATAATACAGACAAACATAATATGGAAGTGCGCTTCCGTATTTCCGGAAAATCAAATTCTGAAAAAAAATACAAAAGTGCACTTCTGTGTATCTAGAAAATCAAATTCTAAAAAAATACGGAAGTGCACTTCCGTAGTTTCCTATAACTCAAAAAGAAAAAAATGTCAGAAACACAAGGTAATATAAATGGGACAAAACACATTGTTCAGTACACCACCTAACAATGAGTGTAACTACCTATATAGTACCGTGGATTACACAACTTAATGTTCCTATTTTGTAATACATGTAGAGAAAAAAAATTTGGATTGAAAAACTTACCAAATGTGTAGTTGAAGTTGAATCACTTGGATTGAATGGATGTTGAAAACCACTTGAATTGAATGGAGTAGAAAAATCACTTGGATTGAATGGAGTAGAAAAATCACTTGGATTGAATGGAGTAGAAAATACACTGGAATAGAGAAACTTAAGAAGTGATTTAGAGTGTTTTTTTACTAGAAATGAGGAAGGGAGAAAGGTCTGGTGCGTATTTGATTAAAACCCCATTTAAAGATGTTTTTTGTAAATTCTTACGAAGATGTATTTCTATACTAGTTTTTATCAAAATGAGAACGTGACTCACTTACAAAATAATGTGATATGAAATAGTGTATTTAAAAATACATTTCTGAATTCTCCGAGCATTTTTAATTTTTTACATGAGTGGGTGAGCAGTCTTAAAGACTGAAAAAAATAATGCCCATTATTTTTTTTAAAGATCTCACTTGTTCATTTCTCAAAATACACAATCAATTAAATGAGTTATTTATGTTCTTTAATCTCTTTATCCCTCTATGCTTTAGTTAACATTTATGCATCTTTAATTCAATCGTTGGAGAAACACTACACTATGTGTTAACCATTCTTTAGAAGATTTAAAGAACCCATCATTGATCAACATTACTAAAAACAATAAATATTCATTGAGACACATTGAAATGAAATGATAAAAAAATTTAAGTTTTGAAAATAAATAAATAAAGGAAGTATTTAAATGAAATGATAATTTTATATTGTGTCTAAAACACCCAAAGTTTGTGGAATAAACAAATAAAAAGATGTTCTATGGAGTCCTTTTCCCCCCATAGAAATTCCAAAATCCAAATGGATGCATTCTTGTCCTTATATGCTTGTTCTTTTCAAGTCATAGGATTATCCTAATGCATCATGTTCGCCATTTCTTAGTTCTCATCAATATTTTCAATGAAACCAAATAATCACAAAAAGAAAACACTTGTTTTTAACAAAGAGTACTAGTTCCAAATTAACTCATATATGGCCGGCCCTATAACCAGCTCATTATTTGCATGTACAACTTTGTCATTGCCACCCTTTAAAGTTTAAACCATTGAAGTTCAATTTCCAATGCATACTCTATTTCATATATCTCCCACTAACCCTCTTCTTTATTTTCATTCCATTTTTTTGTTCATTCAATGATGGCTCATAAAACACCATACTATTGCATTTTGACACTCTTTATGTTGTCTACTTATTTTGTGCCAATTTTTGGTGACACAAATGGTCAAATTTTGATAAGGTTCAAAAGCTTTTTGTCTAATAACAATGCTTTAAGCAATTGGGTTGATGAGTCTAATTTATGCAATTGGGCTGGTTTATTATGCACAAACAACAACTTTTATGGATTGAGGTTAGAAAATATGGGACTTGGTGGGAAAATTGATGTAGACACATTGTTGGAATTGACAAATTTTGTTAGTTTTAGTGTCATGAATAATACATTTGAGGGTCCAATGCCTGAATTCAAAAAGCTTGTGAAGTTAAGGGGATTGTTTTTGTCCAATAACAAATTTTCTGGTGAGATTTTAGTTAATGGTTTTGAGGGTATGGTGAATCTTAAAAGGGTATTTTTGGCAGGAAATGAGTTTAATGGTCATATTCCCTTTTCACTTACTTCTTTGACTAGACTTTTGGATTTGGACTTGCATGGTAATAGTTTTGGAGGTAATATACCTGAATTTCAACAGAACTTTTTCAGATTTTTTGATTTGTCCAACAATCAATTGGAGGGACAGATACCAATTAGCTTAAGCAATGAGCCCTTAACCTCATTTTCTGGTATGTCTCTCTCATCAACATGCTTAATTTTTGTTGTAGGAGTTCTTTTATGAGCGGCAGATTCAAAATTCAATACAATGATTATTAGCACTTAACGGAATTCAAATTTAAAATTTTGAGAGGAGCTCACTCTCAAGATGTCAGGAGAGGAGGATACTCTCCTGATCCAGACCTTCACCATCAGGCCAACTTTTGATATTTTGAATTTCGCTAAATGCTGACAATCATTGTATTGAACTAGTCCATAGAGAGTTTTACTATGACTTTAAATGGCCTTATTACACTAATGGACGATGGATTGATCCCATTGAATTCGTAGGTTTTAAAGTTGGGTACCAAATTTTTAAAAAATTAAATTATTAGCCCTTTCTTTTTGACTAAATAATTGTTATTTACTAATGATTTTTAACTTGAAAAAGTTTCAATATAATTATCTAATTTTTCTTGTTGTAATGCAGGCAATAAAGGCTTGTGTGGGAAACCTTTGAATCCATGCAACATTTCTCCAACCATATCTATTGTGCATCCCAATTCATCTCCTTCAACTCAAGGAAATAGAAACAAACACAAAAAATTCCTTAGATTGTTAATCATAGTTTTGGCTATTGTTGTTTTAGCTTCAATAGTAGCACTTTTCTTTATCCAAACCCGCCGGCGACGACGAAGCGTAAAACAACTCAAACCGATATTAGGCCTACAACAAAACTCTCAAAAAACTCAAAGTTTCAAGGAGACACAATCCATTGATTTGACTGGTGATTTTAGTAAAGGTGAAAATGGAGAATTGAACTTTGTAAGGGAAGATAGAGGGAGTTTTGATTTGCAAGATCTTCTTAGGGCTTCAGCTGAAGTGCTTGGTAGTGGAAGCTTTGGATCAACTTATAAGGCCATGATTTTGAATGGACCAATTGTGGCTGTGAAGAGATTTAGGCACATGAACAATGTTGGAAAGAATGAGTTTTTTGAATACATGAAAAAGCTTGGAAGCTTGAATCATCCTAATCTACTCCCTCTTGTTGCATTCTACTACAAAAAAGAAGAGAAGTTTTTAGTTTATGATTTTGGTGAAAATGGTAGTTTGGCTAGTCATCTACACGGTAAACATGATAGCATACACACAGACAGACACTAGACACTAGACACTAGACACTAGACACTAGACACGACTCTAACACTGACATAGTGTCAGTGTCATATCGTATCATCTTCTGTATATATACACATATTTTTTCATAGGTGTTGGTGTTCTACAGTATATACAAGTCTATTTACCGATTTGTTTGGATAAACGATTTATTTGTATAACTGAATTGGATTGTTTGCAGGTAGAAACGGCATTGTACTAAACTGGTCGACTCGTCTAAAAATCATAAAAGGAGTAGCAAGAGGATTATCACATCTCTATAAAGAGTTTCCTAAACAAAACCTAGCACATGGTCATCTAAAATCCTCGAATGTGATCCTAAACAATTCATTTGTGCCACTTTTAACAGAATATGGACTTATACCTATGACAAACAAAAACCATGCACAACAATTCATGGCATCCTACAAATCACCAGAAGTGACACATTTTGATAGACCAAATGAAAAAACAGACATATGGTGTCTTGGAATCCTCATCTTAGAGCTATTAACAGGAAAGTTTCCCTCAAATTATCTAAGACATGGAAAAGGCGGCGAGAGTTCGGATTTAGCAACATGGGTGAACTCAGTTGTGAGGGAAGAATGGACAGGTGAAGTGTTTGATAAGGATATAATGGGAACAAGAAATGGTGAAGGTGAGATGTTGAAGCTTTTGAGGATTGGAATGTTGTGTTGTGAATGGAGTGTTGAGAGGAGACTGGATTGGAAAGATGCTTTGGCTAAGATTGAAGAACTTAAGGAGAAAGATAGTGAAGATGAATCTTTTTCTTATGTTAGTGAAGCTGATTTGTATTCAAGAGGTGTCACTGATGATGATTTCTCTTTTTCTGTTGATAACATTGGGAATGTGACTCAGTAGAATTGTAACTTTACAATACTATTATATTTATTCTAATAAACTTTACATCATGGTATACATAACCTTATGCAAGGTGAGAGAGAATTATTAATTTTATTTAGGATTTTATATATAGTCTTTCAATTATGGAATTTTAGATTTTGTAATCCTATTGTGCAATATTTATTTATTTACTTATTTATTTATTGTTAATGGAATAATGAATTCAACATTTGATATTTTATGTTTTTGATGATTGTATAATTTTTTACTTGCTCTTCCTTCCCAATTCTCATTTTTATGGTTGATTCTCTATTGTGGTTTGGGAATTTAGGCATATTTCTCTCATCGGGTTGCTCTATAAAGTGGTGGATAGAGTGGTGGCAGCTAGATTAATCTCGGCTATGATGGATAAATTTATCTCTTCTAATCAATCTGTTTTTTTTAAAAGGTATGAAACTTGTGGATGAGGTTGTAGCATTGAATGAGGTTACTGATTTGGCCAAAAGTTCGAAGAGAGATGGTCTTATGATTATGTGAGATGATTCTTTCTTGATTATATGTTGAGGAAGTTCGGGTGTGATAGATGGTGGAGAGTTTGGATTAAAGTTTGTGTCTTTATAGAGAGTCTATCAATTTGTTAAGGGGTGTTCGACTAAGGAAGTTTATATCTAGCGAGGGCATAAACAAGGAGACTCATTGGTTTATCATGGTTATGGAGAGTTGTAATTGTTAAAATTGTAATTTCTTGTGTGAAAGCAGGATGTTGTTCGGTATAAGGTGTGTCGAAACATCCATTATGTATGTGTGTTGAATTAGTCTAGATAATGTGTCGAAGCAGTTGTTTCACACATATTTGATTTAGTTTCAAAATAAGTATTTTGGTCTTTTAGAATTTTAGACTTTTTGGCTTATAGAGCAAGCTAACATAAAGCTATAAATAGAGGGAGTAACTTATATTCTTGTATTCATTCATTTATTCACAGTATTTGCAGTTGCAAGTGAATAAATTGTTTTCCACGATTTGTGGGAAGAGAGAAACTATGCAGAAACCCTAATCATTTTCTTCTTTAAATTTCCTTTTTTCTTTTCATCGTTATTATGTGAGTGATAACAATCTTGTTCATTAAGATTGATAGAAATTCATCATAGATTCCGGTGAATTTCCAACATCTGGTATCAAGAGCTCCGGTTGGTCGATTCAAGGGAAGAGCAATCAAGAAGCGATCAAGGGAAGAAGAAGAAATCACGATGACGGTGAATTATGGGAATGAGAATTATCCAGCAAGTCTTCTAATTCTGAAAGTAGATAACTATGAGAATTGATGTAAACATATGAAGGTTATATTCAGGTGTCAAGGTCTTTGGGATCTTGTAAAGGATGAATTAGAAGAGCTTGGAGAAAACGCTTCAAAAGAAGAAGAAAAAAGAACACATAGAATCGGAGAAGAAGAGTTATAAAGCACTCTTTATAATTCATCAATGTCTGAGTTCAGAAAATTTCGAAAAAGTGAGTGATTCATAATCTGCAAAAGAAGCTTGGGAGATCCTTGAGAAATCTCTTGGAGGCGCAGAAAAGGTGAAAAAGGTAATATTATAAACTCATAAAAGAACATATGAATTGCTTTAGATGGAAGATAGCGAGAGCATATCTGATTTCTTCACTAGGGTTACGAACTAGTGAATCAAATTAAGGTATGTGGGAAAGCGTTAACAACAAGAGTTGTTGTTTCAAAGATCTTGGGGTCTTTGACTCCTAAATTCGACCACGTGGTGGTAGCCATAGAAGAATCGAAGGATTTGTCGAAGTTAACAAAAGAAGAGCTTCAAGAGACGCTTGAATCTCATGAATAGCGAATGACTGAAAGAGCTGCAGGCAAGTGGAAGAGTGATGTGGCTTTGCAGGCACAATCAACAAAAGAAAGTAAAGGCAAAAGAAAGTGGTTCAACAAAGATAGAGGTGGATAAAAAAATTCGACTGACAGAGGAGACCAGCAGGAAGGAATTATGTCGAATCAAAGAATACCCCATTACCAAGGCAACCAAAGAGGTGGTGCTAGAGGTAGAGTAAGAGGTGATGGTCGAAAGCTTGACAAGAGTCACATTCAGTGTTACAATTGTCAGAAGTGTGGTCACTATTTTAGTGATTGTCTATAAAAGAGAAAGAATCAAGAAAGTGATGCGAAATTCACAAAGTATGAAGAAGAAGAAGAGATGATGTTGATGGTTACAACAAAAGATGAAGAAAGATTCAAGGACAAATGGTACTTAGATTCAGGATGCTCATCACACGTGTCTGAAAGGAAATATTGATTTGTCAACCTAAAACCATCAACAAAGAACAAGGTGAAATTTGCAAATGACAGTACTCTAGCAGCTGAAGGTATTGGTGATGTTCTGATTACGGGGAAGGATGGAAAAAGTTCAATAGTTTCCAATGTATTGTACATACAAGGCATGAAGAGCAATTTGCTCAACATAGGGAAGTTGGTTGAAAAGAATTATCAAGTGTCTGCCGAAGACAAGATAATGAGAGTCATCGACACAAGAGGAAGGTTAGTCTTGAAGGCTCCAATGTCTCAAAATAGAACCTTCAAGATTGAACTTGATGTGATGGAGCATAAATGCCTTGCAATTGTAGCTAGCAGAGATGAGTGGATATGGCATTATCGACTTGGCCATCTCAACTTCAAAGACATCATAGATTTGAAGAGAAGAAATATGGTTTCAAGATTACCAAAAATCGACATTCCAAACGAGGTGTGTGAGAAACGTGTGCAGTCGAAGCAACATAAGAACAGCTTCAGCAAGGATGCAGGAAGCAAGTCGAAGGCAATCCTTGAAGTCATATACTCTGATGTACGTGGACCAATATCGATGGATTCGATAGGAGGTATCATATAATTTGTCAAATTCATAGATGATTTTATTCAAAAACCATGGACTTATCTTATCAAGAAGAAAAGTGAAGTGATCGAGGTATTTACCAAGTTTAAGTCTATGTTCGAAAGGCAAAGTGGTCGAAATCTCAAAGTTTTGAAAACTGATGGTTGTGGAGAGTATGTGTTGAAATATTTCGATGCATTATGTGAAAAAGAAGGGATTTTGCATGAGGTTGTTCCATCCTACACTCCACGCCAGAACGAAACAGAAAAAAGGAAGAATCGAACCATCATGAATATGGTGAGAAGTATGTTGAATGACAGGCATCTACCCAAAGAATTGTGGGGAGAAGTTGTGTCGATAGCAATATATATTTTGAACAAATGTCCGACGAAGAAGCTAGAAGGAATTACTCTAGAATAATGTTGGTTTGATGTTAAACCTAGCTTGAGTCATCTGAAAGTGTTTGGATCTATAAGTACATAGACATGTGCTAGATCAATTGAGAAGAAAACTTGATGACAAGTTAAGTCAGATGATCCTAGTTGGATATCATTCGACAAGAGGTTACAAGTTGTTCGACCCAATGAACAAGCAGGTTGTGATCAACAGGGACATGATCATAGATGAGCTTAAGGAATGAGATTAGACTGAAAATGTCAAGAAGGATTAAGTAAGAATCTTACTTGAAGAACCAAAAAATCAAGTCGAAAGAAAAGTTCAACAAGAGAAAGTTATAGATCAACCAGGTACAAACAAACCTCAGAGAACAAGACATATGTCTGCATGGTTGCAAGATTGTGTGGTTACATCAGATGATGTGGTCGATAATGAAGGTGAGCTGGCACATTAGGCTTTCTATGTAGATGTTGAACCATTCAATGCAGATGAAGCATTGAAGGATTCAAAATGGGTGAAAGGAACGAATGAAGAAGTGAAGTCTATAAAAAACAAAACACCTAGTCACTTGTCGAATTGCCTCAAGGTAAGAAGGCTATCGATGTGAAGTGGGTATACGAGGTGAAGTTGAATCCTAAAGGGGAAGTAACTCAACACAAGACAAGACTTGTGGCAAAAGGATTTCTTAATAAGGAATGAATTTACTTTGATGAAATATTTACACCCGTGGCTAAGATTGAAACAATCAGGTTGGTTGTTGGTCTAGCGGAAATAAACAGTTGGCACATATGTCAGATGGATGTAAAGTGTGAATTCCTTAATGGACACTTAGATGAAGAAGTCTATGTTGCACAACTAGTTATGTTTGTGAAGCATGGCGAAGAGAGAAATGTGTACAGGCTGCATAAGGTTCTGTATGGATTGAAGCAAGCTCCAAGAGCTTGGAATAAGAAGATATATAGATTTCTAAGGAAGAAGGAATTTGTGAAGTGCACAACTGAACATGGAGTATATGTAACAAGAAGCAATAGTGAATTGTTTATACTATGTCTCTATGTCGATGATTTGTTGATAACAGGTAGGTGCAAAAGTGAGATCGAAGACTTTAGAGGTGATCTCAACAAGGAATTCAAAATGACTGATCTGGGTGACATTTCATATTTCCTTGGTGTTGCAACTGGTTTTTAAATCAGAGTCACCACCCTTAATTTTTATCCTAAGGGATCTTGAGTGATGTATTGAGGAAGAAGACGTCATGAACTTTGTCTTTATTGATTTCTTCCTCAATATTTATTGATATGCACGAGGAAGATGATGTGCTTGAACCTTTGATTAGATCATTTCCTCAATGATGAAGATGATGTGCTTGAACCTTTGCTTAAATCATTTCATCGTCGAATTAATTGAAATCTACCCTGTCACTGGTTAAGATTAAGGGTTGTTTTTTATAAAATCGAAAGAACTCTGACTTCTGGCTCAAGGGGGTTGACTATGGATTATTTCCTTATATCTCCATTATTTAGGAATTGAAATAATGCTTTATATCGTCAGCTAAGTCTTACTATTAAAAGCATATGTCAGCAAAAATTCAATTATTTTGTATTTTCATCATTCTCCCTCGAAGTTTTGTTAAACTTGTGCAATGGAAGATAGAAAAGAAGAATAGAAATTCGTTGATTATTTGTGGAATGAATCGATTTCAAAAACATGCATGCTTATTTTATTAGAATTACTTTATC